CCTATCCTGACACAAATGACATTTCTCAGCTTCTAGGATATTTGTCTGCATTCACGATTTCTGAATATAACAAGATGAAGCGAGGAAAAAGTCCTATATTGTGCCTGTCGAGATTGGACATGGCATTGTAGACTGAGAAATATATAGATAGAATAATAAAAGGAGAAGTGCGTGACGGAGAAAACAAAAACAAACTCGCTCCGAGTAGAAGTCTTTCTTTCTCGAAGAGACAACATCATTTTATGCTATGAACTCAATATATTAGAAAATTCAAAATCCTAGACATTTAAACGACTGGTTTGATCGAATTCTAGAAGTGATGATGATTTTATTTTTCTGCATCTGCTTGGTTCAAATTTCTATATAATAAAACGACTGATAGTTTCCATTGCGAAGAGTTTAGATGTATGAATTTTTATGTATATGCGCATGATTCAAGATTCTAAACGTTTAAACAGCTGTTATTGAAAACTTCTAAGAGTTTCAATGAATCATTTTTCTTAAATATACATAGTTAGAACTATTGGATATTTAAATTGTCAATGCCATCAACTGGTAGGAGTTTCGATACAACAATTATTTTGTATCTTCATACTGCAAATTTCTGGTAGTTTAAATGGCTGATATCGTCAACTTGTAGGGAACGTTTGGAAGTCTGATATCAATAACCTTTGAGAGTTTCAGTATACCTTTTTTTTTGTATCTGCATAGTTGAAAGTCCTGAATTTTTAGTCGGCTAATATCATCGCGTTTGAGGGGTTTCGATGTATAAGTTGTTTTACAACTGAATACATCCACATCGCAAACGTTTAAACGGCTGATAGTAGGAAATTCTATGAAACACGATGTAAGAGATTTTTCATACATGCGTACTTGAAAGTTTTTGGCTTTTAAATAATTGATTTCATCAGTTTCTACGTATTTTGACATGGATGGTATTTTATATGTAATTTCATTGAACTTTTGTCGCTTCTGGCGACACGTTACAGCAAATCGTAGTGATTTCTTTAAATGAATTTCTTAGAATTCTTTTAATTTGTCTAGTTTTAAGAGGGACGTTCGCCGTGTTGTAGACTTTGTGATCTGTATTCTGTATCTTGTGGAGCGCTTGCAGCATGTTGTAAGGTTTTTGGATTAAACAGTGTCTTACTAACTGTGACAGTCTTTCATAGGGTTATGCATTAGTTATGAGTTTGAGCTCAGGATTATGCCTAAGAAAAATCGTAAGAAGTGACTTACAGAAAAATTTCCTTTTGCACACTTGAAAATCTTTGTTTGTGATCTATCATCGTATTTCAGTCAAATTTGGTTTCGCATTTTTTAATAATAGTTGAAAGCGTTGCATTTGTGATAGAAAGTATTTTTATCATACCCATGCAATAAAATTAAAGCAGATTGTTTTTTATTTGTATAGTTGGTGTCGGACAATACCTCTGCCTTATTCTTATGAAAGCACTATTTTATATCGTGAAAATCAATAAGGGATTGATTACTATTGGATATAAGTTTTGATTTTGTCAGATCAGAATGTAATCTAGTATTTTATTTCTAATAATATGTTTATAAGTGAGAAAGGAGATAGAGTCTCATCGCAATATACTTTACGATAACATTTTTATCTGCGTATTTCGAATTGTTAGTTTTTTTAAAGGGGAATAGAAACCGACAAAGACACGTATACTTCAAATCCACACTCACACCCACACACCGAGTCAAATTTGGTCGAAAAAAATTGCTTGTTGGCAGCTCTGATCTAAAATTTGTATGCAACGATGTTATATATCACAGAGATCTGTTTGGTCAATGGGTCAAGAGTAACATCGATTTAAGCGTTACATCACTTGCAATATCATGCAGATCATTCTATAAATCTACACGATTTTTATCACGATTTATGATTGACTGTTGTCAAAGTCATCAACTCGATATATTGTTGGTCATCTCGAACGGATGAAAGAAAATCTCATTTTTTTATTTCTTTCAATAATATGTTAATTAGCATGGATAAAATCTTGCAGTATTGCCAGATTCAAGTACCATTTCACCGTTCTCGGGACAGAATGTCACACTAGATGCAATAGAAATTAAATTGAAATTCATCTGAAGAACATTCTACTAACCTGGTCTGTCGATCGCCATCAATAACAGTCACATTTGTGAATGTCCATTTGCTCGAATAGATCAGTGAAGAAATCAAATGACCTGCACGTTCGAACTTAACGTTGACACGTTGAATCGTACCCAAATCGGTTGTGAGCGGAATATAACGAGTTTCAATACCGCTTCGTTTCAAAAATGTCTCGTCACTAAATGACAAGAAGAGTTGCTTAAAGTATCAATCTAGACTCACGAATCAAGGAGAACACTTTGCGTAGCTTGACTACCGGTGAGTGTTAGAAGAATTTGACCTTTGGTTTGAACAAAATTTGAACCCGATATCAACCTAATCTGATAGTGATTAACTGCAGAAAACATGTTCATTGTGTTTCTGTTTGTCAAACGTCAAAATTACTTACTGCAATAGGGAGCTTTGTCCACCCTCTGGGTATTGAGATAGAGTCGTCCACGTGCTTTATTTGGAGATGCATGATAGCCCATGAAATTTCCTTCGTTAGCATTCAGTGTACATTCTCCTTTCCGAAAAGCTTCATCACTTTCGCATGAAAATCCTCGATAGACACACCGATTGAGAATCGAATTGATGAATAGATGAACGGCAGCAAAGTGGCTGCACATTGTTGTGTTAAAGAAACCTATGATAAGAATTTTGAATTATTGAAAGGTATATATTCCTCACTTTCATCGTCTCTGATTATGTTCATTTATTTTCTGTATGTAGAACATGTACGACGCTCAACTAGGTTGAATTTCTTCTAGATTCATTCAACATTGTAGATGTTACACTCACCTTGAATATCCATAGGACCGAAAATGTCAAGTGGACCCAAGTTGAGAATGGCATGAATAAGTTTGGCTGACGTCTTATCACATGACGGTTGGTTCATGCCTCCATTTGGGTAAAAATCGACATCACCCACTTGTGTGAGAGTGCCTACATAAAGTGTCCTCAACTTATATAAATGTAGGAAGAATCTTACACTAACCGAAGCCAAGAAGAAGGGTGGGCGACCCATCTGTATGAATGATGTCAACAAATTTTGCATCACTTGGATCAAGACGCACGATTGGATCGGTGTTTTCAAAAAACGGACTGGCCGGATCGAGACCTGTAGAATTTCACAAATTCAAAATAAATAAATAAAGAAACAAGAAAAGAACGAACCTGTGATACGTCCGAGTCCACTGATACGATGTCCGGCGTAGCCTGCGACAGCAGCTCCCAAACTATGAGCAACGATATGATAGTCAGCCGGATTAACTCCGTGTTCTTTGATCATCTTATTCACTAGGAGAGCAATGTCTGCACCAACCACCTGAGCATTAGCTGTTGCCTTCGTATACGGAAAGTAGTTGGCCCGACTCCAATCAGTTAGAATGACATTGCAGTCCTCCTTCAAAATATAACGAAATCGAGATGAACAATAGTGAAACCATAAAAGAAAATAACACATACAGCCTCGAGAAAGGCATCTTTCATTTCTGGCCACCAAGTACTATTGATGGTATCAAGAAATCCGTGTACCAGAATTTTTGTTGCTTTAGTACGATCCCATGTGCCAAGTGTTGTGTGGCGACTGATCGCTTGACCTTTGTCCTTAAATTGTCTAAAATCATACTTTTTAAATTCTATCATCGAACCGAAGACTTTCTTATACCTTGTATAGAGTAGAAAGCGAGTGTCGATCACCTCAGGCTAATAAAATATAGACTTTGAAAAATAATGTAACACGACCAATCTCTTACTGGATCAGGTAAAAGAGCGATTGGTCGATGAAGTGTCAAACCGAATGGAGGACCTGATGTGAAGCATCCATAGTCATCATAACATACATTCATCAGACCACGACCTATATAAATAGATACTTTTCTGAGCATATGTCTCTGAAACTTTTTATTACCTTCAAGCGAATCTGCTGCTATCGTAGCAGCATACAAAGTCAATATAACAACAAGCAGCAATATTGATTGATACATTGGTAATGATATCAAATAGAGAAAGTGAGGCGAGCATAGCGAGCAGCAGCGTTGTATATAGTATGAGGTCCCTTCTTTATCTTTTGATCCTTTTATTCTATCTGCGCACGTTTTCCATAAAACTACAGCTCTTAATATCAGTATTGAAAAGCACAATTATTTTGGGCTTAAAAGGATATAAAGTATAACGATCTGTTCTTTGATTCTATTGATGCCGAAAAAATTCATATACTGCTTTTCAGGAGCTTTTAGCTTCTGTTTTCAAGATTGAGAAGACATAAACAATCTTTTTTATGCATTATTGATGAATCTTGCATATTTCGATTTTATATTTATTGCTTTGTGAGATATTACTTCCGTGCATCCAAAATTCAGTTCAAGGGTGAGAGTGAGGATGAGGGTCTGTTTTGGGTGCGAGTGTGGATGTCTTAATCTAAGTGTTCTCTTCACCAACATCTACACGCACATCCACCCACACCCTCGACTGGTTTGAAAAGTTCAACCGAATCCGATCGGTAACTGAAAAATCGGCGGTTTCAATTCTAACTCTGGTATGCATTGGACTGTAGCAATATCCATTAGAATTTGCCAGAGTTCATGAAAATCTATCAAAGTCTGTTAGGATTTACTTCAGCGCACCCACTTTACTGTAGTTCGCTGAGGTCCACTATAATCTTAAATCATGGAAAAAATATAGATCCTATTGGATCCTACACGATCATTCATTTATTTTGTTTTAAGTAAAAAGAATATACAGTCAACATTCTGGACCATATTAATGATGATTCAGCCGAATGAAATGCATAATTAAATAATGAACTAACAGTTGAACAAGCATGTTCACGTAACTCTGTTGTTTTGCCAGCATTAAGATGTTGGACTAGAAAAATTCAAATTGAATTAAAAGAAATTTTTATTTCCTATTTTGACATACTTCCTGGTACATATGTTTCACAAAATGAGAAGACAGAATCAGCTACATCAGGTGCCTTATGTACTGTGGCTGTTGCTACATGAAAAAACTAAATATAAAAGTAAATAAAAACTAAAAAAAAATGAAAAGAAATTTTCCTACAGTCTCTTTGCCATGTTGAATTGTTGATGTAGTTGTATCCTTAACTGAATTCATTACATGACGAACAGATTCAATTTTTTCGTTGAATGTATTCGTAAACTCTTCAGTTGGTGTATTGATAGCAGGATATTTAGATTCAATTTGACGAAGTTTTTCGGCGGCATAATCATCAATTACATGTACTAAATTATAAGAATATATATATATTAAAAAACAAACGAATTTGTTTTGAACAAATTTACCAAGTTCACATAATGGTTTGCGAAGGGGATGAGCAACTGTAAAAGCAATTTTTAATGATTTATCAGTAACTGTTTCGGCTAAATGGCATGGAAGCCGAATGAGTACACTTGTATCTTTAGCTTTGGCATACATCTCGTGAAGTTTATTAGTTGATGAACGGATGACTTTTAATTATTAAATAAAAAATACAATTAAAAATAATATTAAAAGTAACACTCTTTTTACCTGGTATGCCGTGAAGATATGAGAGAGTTTGAAAGCTCACCATAGTTCAAACGAACAAGAAATAAAAATATCGAACTAAAAATGTAGTAATTAGATATAAAGACTGAGGTGAAAAGTCTAATGCATATGCTTCTCTTTATATACCGACAAAAAGACACACACATAAGCTAAAGAGCAAATTACAAGCACACATCGGTCGACAAAGGAACGAGATAAAAAACAAAAGGTTGGACTATACAAGATAAATAGTGGGCCATAGTCAAGGTAAAAAAGATCAACGAAGAAAGAGTAAAGGTTAGATGACTAACAGGTAAGACAAACTTTGACTCAAATAAAAATCTTTTACTAAAAATTTCTTTCCCATAAATATAAAAAGAAAGATCAAGAAATAGATAACACATTCATATAGCTAAGCTTTCCGTACGTTTTCCAGGGTAAAGGTGTCGCTTTAGCATTATGATTGCATTAATTAATGCTTTTTTTAATGCTTTTGCATTAAAGTTAAAAAATAATCTAATGTTTTGACATTAGTATTAAATTAATATCAGGATAATGCTAATACCTAGCATGATTATGTAAGTTATTTATAGATATATCACTTTAGCTCTTTTACCAGTTTCTGGCTACTAGGATTTGCTTGTAACATTTATATAAGAAAAATATTGTGTTGATATCACAGTTAAATGAATATAGATCGATAATTTTTTTTCAGAAAGCATAAGTACGTTTATTAGAAATTGGTAGTGTAAGAACAAAAGTCATTCAAAGAATTATTTAGGATGACAGCATCGTATATCACTTAATTTTTATATGACAGATGTCGAAATGAACAATTACTTTTCAGTAAAAGATACTGAAAAATTTTTTCTTCATTACCTCACTTATGTTTATATAAATACTTATCAAATAGGTCCTATTTCAATGCCTGTCTATACTTATAAATCACAACAAAATTATTTCGGGAATTTTACTTCGTGTGTCGTTTCAATAAACTCTCATTATCTTAATTATATCTTGTAGATTTTAATAGCACTAAAAATAAAATCCTGACATAGCAGTTGAATATCGGTGCGGGTGCGGATGTTGGGGGTGTACTGTGGTATGGGTTTAAAGAAGAACCCCCATACCCAAGATTAAAAAAATCAAAAGATAGCATAATTGCGTGCAAATTATTTATATAAATACAATCATTTCAAATCTAAATCGTATGTATATGAATAATTTTAAGCATTGACGCTGTAAGTATTTATTACTCTAGTCATAGTAACTGCTCAGTTATGTGATCAATCACTGGGTACTTGCGTTAGACTAGGTCCTTCTGGATGTATTCATCGATGTCAAGGATCTGGATATGATTGGGGTAACTGTATAGGCCTTCCACCGATATGCAGATGTACCTAACAATAGAGATGACGGTTCAATGCTCGATAAAGAACATAACTGCTTTTTTTGCTTCAAATATTGACTGATTATCATAATTTTTTTAATATCAGAAGCCAGTATTGCCAGGTTTTGAATTTAATATAATCTCATATAATCAAGGAATTTAAGTGTAACTACATACTGTCTGATAGGTTCACATCTTGTCCGTTGTCATCAATAATAACATGATTATTATTGATTCAATAAGATAATTTGAACAAAAGCTGAAGAGAAGGCCGTATCTTTACATTACTATTGCAGATTTACCTTTTGTTGAATATGGTCGAAAATAGATGAGATGTGCAGCGAGCAAATGACTCAGCCGATACGACAATTATGATTTGAAAATTCTATTGTACATACCTTGAACATGTAGATAATGTAAGATTTTTAAATCACATTACAGTTTCTGATGTAACTGAAAGTATATTGAGAAAAACACTTTAAACTCCAGCAGTGTTCAGACTTCTGAAAAAGGAAATTTTGGAAGTTTCGGAAATTTCAAGCACCTGTGTTCTAAATTGTTTGGTATTTCTCAAAATTATATAATTTCCGAAATTTCTGAAATTTCCAAAATTCTATACGTAGCGAAATTTCCGAAATTACAGAAATTTCTAAAACTTCTAAAATTTCTAATATTTCCAAAAGATTTTCATGTGCTCTGCTATGTAGTTATCGAGTTGATGGAAGCTTCGGAAATTTCTGTAATTTCCTTTTTCGGAAATCTGAACATACCTCAATGAATCGTGACTATATAAAGAGAAATTTGAGTTCTTCAAAGTCATATAGAGTGAAGAATGTAATAGAGAAAACTCTTTTATAACACAAAACATTAGAAGAATTTTCATACGTGGATTCAATTCGTTTTTAGGGATAATGCAATCTACCTCCATAGGACTTTCATTAAAGACTAAAATGAATACACTGTATTTTATATTTTTATAGAGCGGAGATAACAATGAAAGCTACTTTCTGCATGAACAAATTTTATTTTCTCTGATTGTCATTGTTCACTTTGACATACAAAGAAATCATCAGCAACTTCTAGACTGATGAACTCTATTATGTGGTTGGATTATCCATCGCTTCTTCTCTCTGTCTTTTCAGAGTTTACTCAAAGAGACTCAAAAGAAGCATTAGAATCTAGATTGATAAACCATCAAATAATAAACAAAATCCATCGCTTTGCATAAATTAATTATATATGTTGATGACATATTCATTATGTTTTTTCATTTGTATAGTATCTATATATTCTTTCAGCCATTATTTGTTAATAGTATTTGTTGTGCAACGAACATGCTATGTTGTCCTCAGTTTTTGAAATACTTTCATTCTTCTTGTCGTTACGATGCTTTGCTTCATTTTTGATTGTGATTCATTATCAATGCTATTTGAAAGACTTAATACTTTGAAATACTTCTTTTTATAATATGCTTGAATTGTTCATGTGAAACAAAGCCCATCTATTTTTTTTCTTAAGGAAGAGCGAGTGATTTCCTGGTAAAAAGAATTCTTCTTTTCTAATTTTAACAGTTGCTATACTCTCTCTCTCTCTCGCATAGATATAAAATGAGCATACATTTGTGTTCAACATTGTAAAATTTCTTTTTTTGGTCTACCGATCCAAAACTATTTCTCTACAAGTAGCGTCTCAAACTCTATATTTATTGTTCACTAATAAGTAGTCGTATTTGAACTTATTCACATCAGCTATCAACTAAAAACTATCCGAGTCAGATCGACTATGATGTATAACTAGTGTTTACATTGAGAGAAAAATGGATACAATCTCCATTATCAATGGGATATACATATTTGTCAGTAGCTTTATTTCTCTTCTGGCATTAGCTTTTTTTACGATTGCTATTATTTACTTGAGTCGATGCTTTAATTTCCCTACTCTATTAGTTTGTAATACGGCTCTCGCCACCTTTATGCATTCTTGTGACAATCTGGCACTAACTATCTACATGCTGCTGGGAGATGAACAACAGACACCAAATATCGATTCTCTTTGTTCATTACGTTCTTTTATTCATCATTCATTCATTCTACAAGCAATAGAAAAATTTGTCAAGATTAAAACATTGAAATTTCTAGATAGACAAATTGGTAAAGTGTCCTTGTTCCTTTTTCAATGGATATTTGACATCATTTTTGGTTTACTTGCTCATCTTACTGATAATATGTCAAAGTTTCGTATAGAAAATTTATGTTTTATTTCATTAACAAACCCTGTCGTGCTATTTTATATGTTTGCAAAAATATTCATTTTATCATATACTACTCTTGCTGTTCTTCTATCGTCATTTAGTAAGTTATGTATGTCAAGCTTCTCCATGTGCTCATGACAATCAACAACAACAACAAATGCGTCGTGATTTAACTATGGTTAGGTGTATAGTATTGCTAAATGCTCAATTAGTTTTTGTAGACATACCAATTTCTATTTTTTTTGATATTCAACATGTATCATCAGGATCTTGCACCATTGAAATGGATGCGTCTTTTGCTTTTGAATACGAATACACCATTAGGTCCTATGCTCATTATTTTGTTCTGGATTATTCCAAATCTGCGACAAAGTCTTTTTGAATGTCTGAACAAAACAAAACAATATTTATGGCTAGTGACAATCGTGTGAGATCAACCATAGTAACACACCATCAATTTTTAAGCGAAACTGTTTTGAAATGTTTGATTTACTATCGCTTTTCTCGTGTACGAAAAAATCTCAAATAAAAAATTCTCAATTATTATATATTACTATTTACAAACTTGAAATATATCTCATAGCTACCACATATAACATTGAACAAGAAAAAGA